TGTTGCATTGGCTGCAAAACACATTGGCTGTCCAGTAGTCATGGAAAGTACATTTTAAGTGCTAGTCTTTCCTTTATGTTTAAGGTTAAATTAGTAAGGGCCTTGAAATTAGACTAAAGCTAAGTCAAAGGTTCAGTCAATATCATAAACCAGAAGGTCAAGCAATATAAATTATCATAACCAAGTAATTAGCTTGCAACATCATATGCTTTGTATCTCTAAGACTTTTACCCTGCATATTCTCCCTCAGTAAAAGGAACATTAGGCCAATGTTAGTACTGTTCCTGACCCACACAGCAAGATACTGTTGCAGTGCCAACCTTTCTAAAATATGCGTGTGCTCAAAAGAAGAGTTAGAGAGTGATTGGAACAATCAATAAGATGGAGAAAGCAGGAAATAGGAGGAAAAGCAGTGGGGAGAAATAGGTTAGAGTTTGGACTGTGCTTAACGTGTAACTTCTTCATATTTGTGAGTAAAGCAGAGGAGCAGGGGTCACTCACTGGGAGCTGCCTACCTCTAAAGAAGAAGGTCATAGGTTCAAATTCCACTCTACAGCATTGCACCAAGTGTGACTATTCAGCGCACTATTGAGGCAGCATTTCAAATGAGGTGCAGGCAAATTATTTTTTCCATACGATGTTTAAGCCATTAATAGGATCAAAGCTTTTGAAGAGATTTTTGAATGGCTTATTTTTGAATTATTTATTTTGACTGTGTTGTGACCATCTCGAAGCTTTCCCAAGGATATTACACAGCTGATGGGCTCTCTACATATGGAGTGAGTGGACATGGAGGGGGCATGGGTGTATAGAGGGCCATGATAGATAGGATGAGGGTGAGAGATAAGGGCTTAACACTTTTGTGTAGAACAGGGCTGTTATATTGGAGGCAGGTTTTCTAACCTTAGCATCCACCTTCGCTGTTCCCACCTTGTGTAGCTTGTAAAGGAGGTGTTCCCTAACTCCAGCCTACCCTTGCATGAAAACAGCATGTTGGATATTTAAATGTTATGATAAGGCTGGGAACCTCGTATCAAATCAGTTTTACATGTTTAACACTGAGTGGCCTTGTTTCCCAAGTCATGGGAAATCTGGCAACAGAAGGGAGACATGGAGCATTCTGGTAAAAAGTGATGTGCCCCTGTTTGTGCACTCGGGGAGCAGGATTGCTTCTCCCTGGACTCCCAAGTCAATTCCCTGAAATCGAAAACCCCTTCCATTTCTGTACATGATCCAACAGTATGCTCCCTTCCCCCTCATCTTCGGATTGGGGACCATTCGCATTGGGAATATGGCTCACCTCCAGGATCAGGGATTGGATCCCCTGCAACAGCACTTTGTCTAATAAGGTCTGCAACCCTTCACCTTGACCCAGCTCAACTTTTCTTCCTTATCTGGTCCTGCAGCTATGGTCACATCTGGAGCATTTCCCCATTGAGGGGAGGATGGGGCAATTATAGCTGACATTTTAATGTCAAGGACAACATAAAAAAGAATGTGATAAAGATTTGTAGGAAGTCATAGGATTGGGAAGCCTTTAAAAACCAGCAGAGGACAACTAACAAAGCAATAAGTGGGAGGGAAGATGAACTATGAAGGTAAGCTTGCTAGTAATATAAAAGAACACATAAAAGGAAAGCAAGAGGTAAGAGAAAGGCAAGAGTTCTCATTGGACTGCTTGAAAATGAAGCTGGAGAAGTAGTAATGGGGAACAAAGAAATGGCAGAAGAACTGAATAGGTACTTCACATCAGTCTTCACAGTGGAAGACACCAGTAACATACCAGAACTTCAAGAGAGTCAAGGGGCAGAGGTGAGTGTAGTGGCCATCACTAAGGAGAAGGTGCCAGGGAAGCTGAAAGTTCTGCAGGTGAGTAAATCACTCGGACCAGATGGACTATACCTGAGAGTTCTGAAGGATCTAGCTGAGCAGATTGTGGAGGCATTGATGGTGATCTTTCAGGAAGCACTAGAGTCAAGGAGGTCCCAGGGGACTGGAAAATGGCTAATATAACACTCCTATTTAAGAAGGAAGAAAGGCAGAAGATGGGAAATTATAGGCCTGTTAGCTTGACCTTGGTTGTTGGTAATTGGTCCATTACAGAGTACTTGGCAGTGCATGGTAAAATATGGCTGAGTCAGCATGGCTTCATCAAGGGAAGGTCATGCCTGACAAATCTGTTAGAACTCTTTGAGGAGGTAACGAGCAAGTTAGACAAAGGAGTGTCAGTAGGCATGATCTAATTGGATTTCCACTGGGGTTTTGACAAGGTGCCGCACAGGAGACTGCTAAGTAAAATAAGAGCCCATGGTGTTAGGGGCAAGGTACTGGCATGGATAGAGGATTGGCTGACTGACAGAGAATGGGGATCGAGGGGTCTTTTTCAGGATGGCAGTTGGTGACTAGTGGAGTTCTGCAGGGGGTCCATGTTGGGACCATAACTATTCACATTACATATTAGTGATCTGGATGAAGGAACTGAGGGCATCGTTGTTACGTTTGCAGATAACACATGGATAGGTGGAGTGACAGGTGGTGTTGAGGAAGTGGGGAGGCTGCAGAAAGACTTGGACAGGCTATGAGAGTAGGCAAAGAAGTGGCAGATAGAATACAATGTGGGAAACCATGAGGTTATGCACTTTGGTAGAAAGAATATAGACATAGACTATTTTCTAAAACAGGGAAAGGCTTCAGAAGTATTAAGCACAAAGAGATTTGGGGATCCTAGTTCAGGATTCACTCAAGGCTAACATGCAGGTTCAGCTGGCAGTTAGAAAGGCAAATGCAATGTTAGTCTTCATTTCAATGGGGTTAGAATACAAGAGCAGAGACATACTACTGAGGGCTGTATATGGCTCTGGTCAGACTGCATTTAGAATATTGTGGGCAGTTTTGGGCACCATTCCTAAGTAAGGTTGTGTTGGCATTGGAGGGGGCCCAGAGGAAGTTCACAAAAATCCCAGGGATGCAGGTCTTGTCATATGAGGAGCTGTTGAGGATTCCTGGTCTGTACTTGTTTAGAAGGATGAGTGGAGGTCTAGTTAAAACTTACAAAATACTAACAGACCTGGACAGATTGGACCTGGAGAAGATATTTCCACTAGCAGGAGAGATGAAGACCCAAAGGCATGGCCTCAAAATGAAGGGATGACCCTTTAGAATGGAGAAGAGGAAGAATTTCTTCAGCCAGAATGTGGTTAGTCTGCAGGACTCATTGCCACAAAAGGTTGTGAAGGCCATGTAATTGAGTGTATTGAAGACAGAGATACATAGGTTCTTGATTAGGAAGGGGATCAGGTGTTACAGGAGAAGGCAAGAAAATGAGGTTGAGGAACACATCAGCCATGGCTGAATAGTGGAGCAGACTCATTGGTCTGAATGGCCTAATTTTGCTCCCAGATCTTAGGGTCTTACAGCAGGGATCCAAATGTATTAATTAGCATGGCTGCTGGACCAGGAAGGTGGTGATAAAATGCTGAACCCCATCAAAGTGTCAAAACTCCTTCTCCCCAGAAATGCAAACTTAATGAGAACTTGGTTAAAATAGGGTGTGCAGCAATGGCTCTGTGCTGTCAGAAGGATATTGATGGATACAGTGCAGGTGTACACACAGACTGCTGTGAAGAAATGGATAGAAAAGCTTTGTCTTCTTTCTGTACTAGAGCTAAAGTAGATGACAGCAACCCTTTTAAAATGAACAGTTATACGTCTTAGCGCAGGGGATTCCCAAACAGTGGGTCATGACCCCTGGGGGATCACATGATTGATCTGAGCTGTTGCTAGGCAGCAATACCTGCTGTAGATGAGGATCTGAACGGGAACAGTGTAGAGGCCCCTGTAAGTCCTTGGGTTTCTCTTTAGTGGGTGTGGCCTAGTGGACAGGCTTGATTGCTGCCGCAATAAAAAAAGGCCCTGAAAAGGTAGGTTTTTGTTCAGCAAACAAAACCCTGCAGTTTAAAAAGTTCTCACCACATTGAACTTGTCCTTCCACTTCTCCAAACCTCACAGCAGCTAAAGCTCACTCCTGCCCAGGGTCACACAATGTCTGTGGACATTAAATTGGTGTTGCAGTTGGGAAATAGTTTGTCTTAGGGCAAGGAACAAGCAAATCTTATGTCGATCATTGTTCTTATTGATTTGCTCATGCAAGACATAAGAAATTCAGTATTGTTTTTATTCCTTCTGTACAGAGTACATCTGGTACTGGCCTTGCTTTTATAGCTTTTACTGAAGTGATCGTTCGAATGCCTGTATCTCAGGTATGGGCGGTCCTGTTCTTCGTCATGCTATTCAACCTGGGCCTGTCTTCCATGTTTGGCAATGTAATGGGCATGCTTACTCCACTGTTAGATCTAAAGGTGTTCCCAAAATGTGTTCCCAAAGAAATGATTACAGGTAAATGGTTACTCTTACTGCACAGTTCACATGGACAGCGTTGCCTGTATAACCACTTAACTACATTATGGTGCAATCTCTGTCCCAGTCAAGTAGTTTTCCTACTTTCCAAAATGTGGGGTGGAGGTTCATTATTCTTTGAGATAAAACAGACACCTAAGATCCTGACTGTTCCTTCCCTGTCTCTCTATCATCTGTTAAACTGGAATAATCTGCAGGTCCTTTCAATATTTCATAGACCTCAGTCAAGATCACCTCTACGCAACATCCTATAAGCTTGGATTCTTTCTAATGTCTCTCTTCTGAACCTTTTCCATAGCCTCTATACACCCCTCATTATGAGGAACCCCAGCTAGACATGTACTCCAGTATTCTAACCAGAGGCCAGTTTAATGACACAATGCTCTCCTTTGGTTTATCACGAATTTTAACACCCTCTTAGCTTTAACTCCAGCATCTCAATCCTAATTCATGAATCTTCGGAGTGATCTGTGCACTATAAACCCTAGCTCTTTGCTTCAGAAGTGATTTTCTTTTCCACAATCCATTTTGTGCATTTCCAAGGATCTCTTCTGGTTCCCAGGGCATCCCTCAGAATTCCCTTTCAAAAATCCTCCCAGTGGAGGAGGAAGAACTGATGGCACTGTAGTTCCCTGGTTCTAATTTGACCTCTGTTAAATATCGGAATAACATATACTAGCTACCTGTACACAGAAATTCTTCCGGACTGAAGACTGAATTCTTCCTGATGGTATAGGCAAAAGACATACAGAGTATTTAGCAAATCTGTCACAATTTGAGTTATGAGTGTGAATCTATCTACTCCGACAGTATCTTCCTGTGAACCTATGTGTTGCTGAATGGTCTTACTTCTGACCGAGCTGAAATATTCTCACTATCGCCATGAGCGCTATCTGCTTTGCCAGAGGGCTCTTATTTAATCTTATGGTCGATTTTGCCTCCTTCCGTTGCTCCCAATTACCTGATATGTGAAAGCCGCCTCAAACTAAAAGCACCCTGCTCCACATTAGGATTCACAAATTCCATCCATCTTGATAGCAAGCAGACTGCTCGAGGGAATGTGGTCCGTGTCCAGTGCAGTCTTACATATCAAAAGTGTGTGATATAGATGCAGTTTCTTCCATGAAATAATGGTTATGAAGTAAACAGCCTTGCGGTCTCCCTCTCCCTCCCCACTTCGCCCCTTTTGCCACCATCAGGCCACAGATAGTCAGGAGATAGGGCTTGACACTAATTACTTTCAAAGGCACACACTCTTTGTGGAGACCTGGTAGGGCAACAGTTACTAAGGCCTGAGGCCTATTTTCATGCCACTGTTGAGCCTTTACTTTGAGGTGAAAAACATCTTTTACCTCCTCAAGATTTTTTCATCAGTAAAATCACAATACTGTTCACAATAACCAGCATTTTTATCACAATTCCAACCATTGCAAATCTTCCTCTTACCCACTTGTAGGGTGGTGGGGAGCTATACAGATCCGCTCTACATTCCTAAAGTTAAAATTTAGCTGCAACGACTCGTTAGGGATCAATTTTAACCATGGAAACCATTGACATCATTTTTCCAACTTTTCCCCCACTAAAGTTTCACTGAATCGTTAGGGTACACAAGGAAGCCATTTGGCCCATCGTCTCTGCACTGAGCCTTCCCCATAAGCCTGAAATGGTTTCCATTTACAATGAACATTCAATGCCCTCAACTGAACATGCCTCCACCATAATATCAGAAAGTCCTTTCCGGACCCTAACTATCCGATGCGTGAAAAAGTTTGTTCGCACCTTGCAATTGCTTTTTCAAAGCACTTTACACTTGTGCCTTCAGCTTCTCAATCCATTTAATGTCAAGCAAACACAGACACAGGTTAACCCTGTGCAATTTTTTTTTTTACCAATTAGTTGTTCTGCTCCTCTAAGAACATCACTAAGAAAATGTTTCGGCAGTGCATGTTCTAATCAACTGTTTTTTTTTATGTCTTCTTTAGCCATATTATGCCTGATATGCTTTTCAGTAGCACTTATTTTCACAACAGCATCTGGGAGTTACTGGCTGACAATTTTTGACAACTATGGAACTGCCTTGCCTCTTCTGATCATTGCATTCTTCGAACTGATTGGGGTGATTTATGTTTATGGGTTTCGCAAGTAAGTAACAATAGATTGTAACTATTTACCACTTTAATTGGATGGTGTTTCCAAACAGTGATCTTTAATTTTTTAATCGGAAATGTCTGTTTTATCCCATTCCCCTTAAACAGCTCTCGCTGGAATAAGTGTCACAATAATATCATTTAACCATGGGTTGTTTGACCTTGTCAACTTCTGAAGCCTTTGATTCATCCATCAGTAGGTTCTTAGCAATGTCGCACTGTAACATACCCTCCTTCTTAGCACTCCTTCCTGTTGAAAGAGGCAATATCCCTGAACTTGCCTTTTAAATAATGATTACCAGTTAATGATTAACAGGGACGGAATGTGTAACAGGCTTTGAAATGTTCAATTAGCCATGATCATATTGAACGGCAGGGGAAGGCTTGATGGGCTGAATGGTTTATTACTGTTCTTTTGTTCCTTAAAGCCCTGATATCTAGAATAAAAATTTAAAATGCCGAAAAGGCTCATCCCAAGAGCGATAACGACTTAATATTTCATCCTTAGGAACATCACAACTCAAAAACGAAACACTAACTCAAGATTAACGTCTGAAGCAAATGAAGATGTTTCATTTCATTTTCAACTTGTTCTGTCCAGTCTTAGAAATAGCACAACCCCAAAAGAGACCATTCAGCCCATCAAATCTGCACTGGCTTTTTCGAAGTGCAATCCAGTTCGTCTAATTCCTGCAACATTTATCCATGAAGCATTTGCTTCTTCAAATATTTACCAATTTCCTTTTGAAAGTTATGATTGAGTCTGTAAACACCATCATCTCAGACAGTGCATCCCTTATTCTAATCACTCCCGCATGCTCTGAGACAATCCCCTATAGATATTGATCCTTCAGCTATTAGAAACAATTTCTCTTTATTTAGTCTATCTAAATGAGGAAAGGTTAGAGATGCTGGGCTTGTTTCCTTTGGAGTTTGGAAGGGTGACAGGTAGCTTGATTGATGTATGGAAGATTTTGAACGGTCTTGTTAAGATGGACACTGAAAGGACATTTCTCCTCGTTGGTGAGTGAGTGTTTTAAAATTAGGTGTCACCTTTTTAGGACAGAGATAAGGAGAATGTTTCTCTTCCCTGAGAAGGCTGTGCTATTTAGAACTCTCCCTCAGGGAGGCAGGGTCATCAAACGTTTTTAATATACGGTTTGAAAATGATTTCAATTGGACAAGGGAAACAACGATTATCAGGAATCGATGGGAATGTCGAATTCAAAATACAAACAGATCAGCCACGATCTTATTGAATGGCACAGCAGACTCGAAAGGTGCAATAGCCTTTTTCTGCTCCTAATCTGCATGCATACTTTCAATTTCTGAGTTTACAATCATGAAGTCTACTCTTGGCCTTCTCTGCTCCAAGGAAAACAACAGCCCCAGCTTCTCCAGTCTATTAATGTGACTGCAATCCATTACTTCTGGAACCATTGTCTCTGCAAAACTGTCACATCCTTCCTAAAGTGTGGTATCCATAACTGGGATTTCAGCCAGGGCTAAACTGATGTTTTATACGTGTGTAACCTAATTTCCAGACATTTGTACTCTCAGCCTCTACTTATAAGGACCAAAATTCCATTGGTTTTATTAACTGCTTTATTAATATGTCCTGGTGTCCTCAAAAGGTTATATGCAAACAGCCTGAGCTCTCTGTAATCTTGAACCACTTCAATATTGTACCATTTACAATCAAAGAGCTGTACAGCACAAAAACAGAACCTTCCGATCAACTTGTCCGTGTCGACCAGATATCCTAAATTAACCTAGTCCCATTTGCCAGCATTTGGTTCATATCCCTCTAAACCCTTCCTATTTATCCAGATGCCTTTTAATTGTTGTAATTGTACCAGCCTCCACCACTTCCTCTGGCAGCTCACTCCACACACACACCACCCTCTGCATGAAAACGTTGCCCCTTAGGTCTCTTAAATTTTTCCCCTCTCACCTTAAACCTATGCCCTCTAGTTTTGGACTCCCCTACCCTGGGAAAAAGACCTTAGCTATTCACTCTATCCATGCCCCTCATGATTTTATAAACTTCTATACCGTCACCCCTCAGCCATTGATGCTCCAGGGAAAATAGTACTAGCCTATTCAGCTTCTCCCTATAGCTCAAGCCGTCCAACTCCAGCAATATCGTTGTAAATCTTATCTGCACCCTTTCAAGTTTAATAACATCTTTCCTATAGCAGGGAGACCAGAACGTTTCCATTATCTCTCTTACACACTTTCCTGCACTGAGTTTCATCTTCCATGTGTCCATTCATCCCACCAGCCTATCCATGTCCCCTTGAGTTCTAATATTGTTCTCCTCAGTATTTACTCCACTTTTGAGTTGTATTCCATTTCCCAATATCACAACATGTCCTCAACTTCCAACTCCAAATCATTGTTCTATATCAGAAATAGCAGTGGTCCTAGGATTGAACCGTGGGGAGACAGAGTATATGCCTCCACAGTCAGTTAAACTACCATTCACCGCAACTCACTGTTTCCTATTTCTTAGCCAATTTTTAAACTCATTCTTCTATGGCTCCTTTTATCCAGTTGACTTCAGTTTTGCCAACAAGCCTAACTTTTGATATTTTTATCAAATACCTTTCGAAATCGACATCACCTCATCTACCCATTACTTCATCAAAAAAAATCCACTTAACTTGTCAAACACAATTTCCCCTCAACAAGTCCACACTGGTTATCCTTTACTTGTCCATGATGGTCAAATTGGCTGATAAATTTCTCCTAGATTCCTATTTCTAAAAGCTTGCCTACCACTGACGTTAAACTGACTGGTCTGTAATTGCCAGCTTCTTCCATTTCCCAAACATTTGCAACTTTTAAAAACTTTGGCAATACTCTGTATCCACAAAGGACTGGCAGCTTGCTTCCAGCTTTTTGCAATTTTGGCCAATAACCTCCCTCAGAAAATAAGGATGCATCCTACAAAATAAGTGACACACAATGGGTCTCAAGGAAGATTTATTTTATTGCAGATTAAACTGCTGGCCCAGTCATCCAGGGATCTTTACATTCTTTCCTCTTTGTAGCTCTTATTTTTCAGCCATTGCATTGAGACATACAAGATTCTAAAATCCCTACGGTGCAGAAAGAGACCACTTGGCCCATCGAGTCCACACTGACCCTCCTAAGAGCATCCCAACCTGACCCAACCAGGGTGACTAATTGCATAACCCCACACTTCCAATGGCCAATCCACCTAACCTTCCCTGGAAGAAAACTGGGGCAGCCAGCAGAAACCCACATAGACGCAGGGAGAACATGCAAACTCCACACTTACAGTCACCCAAGGCTGGAATTGAACCAGGCCCCTGACACTGCTCAGGCAGCAGTGCTAACCACTGAGCTACCCTAAATTCTGAACACGTTTGGCCAGTCAGATGCTGAGAGATTGTTTCTGCTGGTTGAGGGAATCTAAAACAATGGGGAGTGGTTCTAGGAGAAGGGGTTAATTTAGAACTGAGATGAGGAGAAATGAATTTGCTCAAAGTGTATGCCTTTGGAATTCTCCAAAGAGTATGTTGACAGTTGAAACAGGCAGATTTTTAGTCTGTCAAAAAATCAAAAAGTACTGTGAGTAAGCAAGAAGTTACAGTTGAAGTTAGCCATGATTGTACTGAATGATAGAAGAGCCTCAACGGGCTGAATGGTGTATTCCTACTCCTATTTCTTAAATTGTTGCGTCCTTTCCTCTTCTGAAACTAAATCAAGCAATGCTGGTAATTTGGGTTATTCCTCACCATGTAGGGAACAAACAAACATTGCATCTCACTCGATAGGCTAAGTTGGTTCATTAAATGTATGACGAGAGAACAGAATGAGCTGTTAATCAGTTTTAATTTGGAATCGTGCTCAACATGTCGGGAAAATTAATCCCTCTCTCTTCTCAGGTTCTGTGATGATTTGGAATTTATGACTGGTCGACGACCGAACTTTTACTGGCAGGTGACCTGGAGATTTATCAGCCCTTTACTGCTGTTTTCCGTTTTTGTGGCCTTTGTTGCAATTGAGGTTCAGTCTGACCTGTCGTATGAGGCCTGGGATCCCAACTATGTATGTACCTTTCATATTGAAATACAGCCTGCACGTTTTCTTTTAATATTTTGTGAAAACTTTCTTCCTGCCTTTGTTGGTCAGTGCATTAATTGTAAGAGCTGGGAGGTCATGTTGCAACTATACAGGACGTTGGTGAGGCCACTTTTGGAATACTGCATGCAATTCTGCTCTCCCTGCTATAGGAAAAATGTTGTTAAATTTGAAAGGGTTCGGAAAAGATTTACAAGGATGTTGCCGGGGTTGGAGGGTTTGTGCTATAGGGAGAGGCTGAATAGGCTGGGTATTTTTTTTTCCCTGGAGTGTCAGAGGCTGAAGAGGTTTGTAAAATCATGAGGGGCATGGATAGGGTGAATAGTCAAGGTCTATTCCCCATGATAGGGGAGTCCAAAACTAGAGGGCATAGGTTTAAGGTGAGAGGAGAAAGATTGAAAAGGGACCTAATCATAGAATTCCTACAGTGTGGAAACAGGCCCTTTGGCCCAACAAGTCCACACCGAACCTCGGAGCATCCCACCCAGACCCATCCCCCTATAACCCACCTAATCTACACCTCCCTGAACACTATGGGCAATTTAGCATGGCCAATCCACCTAACCTACAGATCTTTGGACTGTGGGAGGAAACCGGAGCACCCGGAGGAAACCCACGCAGACACGGGGAGAATGTGCAAACTCCACACAGACAACATTTGCCCTAAGGGGCAACATTTTCGTATGGTGGGCGGTGTTTGTATGAAATGAGCTGCCAGAGGAAGTGGTGGAGGAGGGTATAATTACAACATTTAAAAGGCATCTGGATGGGCATATGAATAGGAAGGGTTCAGACGGATATAGGCCAAATGCTGGCAAATGGGATTTGATTTATTTAGGATATCTTGTCGGCATGGACAAGTTGGACTGAAGGATCTGTTTCTGTGCTGTACATCTCAATGATTCATACGTAAGTCCACTTCTTTTTTTTAATTTGGTCATGGGATTTAGACAAGGCTGGTGAATCCAGCATTGATTGCCCATCCCTAAACATTCCTTGAGAAGATGGCGGTGGTGGGCAACTTTCTGGAACTGCTGCAGTCCATGGTGGGAAGGTATACGTTCACAATGCAGTTATGAATGGGAGCTCCAGAATTCTGACCCAGGAACACTGAAGGATAGGGATGGCGAGTGGCTTGGCAGGGAACTTGCAGGTGGTGGTGTTTCCATGCATCTGCTGCCCTTGTCATCCTCGTTGGTAGCTGTCACGGATTTGCAAGTTGCTCTTCTGTAAACAAACATACTCCAGCATTCTAACCCCGGATACTTTGGGTAATATAACGCCAACGGTTTCATTGAGCTCAAAGAAAGCAACTGGAATTTATGTTGGGGTAATGTTGGGACAGCTAGACTCTTCTACAGCTTAGTGCACATTCTCACACTCCTGATTAAGTGCTAACAGTTAGCAATGCTTGGGAAAAACTTATGGATACTTTTCCCTAAAATTGAGACCTATCCCCAAGCTGTCACATTCTCTCCAATTTTATTAGGCCCCTGCAGATGCTCATACCTACCCTTTCAAAGCATATTTCTTACATCATTCCTACTTCCCACTAAACCCCTGTTCACTCTGTTTCCTGATTTAACCCCTGTGCCATCCCACATCATTAGTGGTGCTTGGGTTCAACTGCCAACTCCACTCTTCGCAAAACACTAATTAACAACCTATTCCTCAAACCCAAAGTAAAACAATGTCTTTAATGACCAGCTCGTGTTGAACCTCCTTTCCCTTCCTAACATCCTCAAATTGTTCTCCTGGGTCTATACCAAAGGCTCCCGAAGCACCATTTGAGGATGAGCAATCATCTATGTGGATGAGACTGGAGTCCATATGTTTGCTTTGTTCAACAAACCTTTTCCATGATCTGTAGGCATGGAGATTGTTTTGATCAAATTCATCACTGCCGGAGGATCTGAGGACCATTCTGCCTATTGTCAGTGTACTAGCTCTTTGGAAGGGCCATTTAATGAATACTTCTGCCCAGGTTACTTCCCCTGATGTCTGCAGTTTTCCTTGAAAGATAGATATCATTCCCTTGTCAAAGATACTACTGAAGGCTGAAGGGCCTGTTCCTGTGCTGTAATTTTCTTTTTCTTTGAATCTATAAATCTATCAACTTCCCTCACCCTCTGAGGTAGAGTGATGTGGATCGCCCAATGAATTGTGAAAATAACACATAATAATAACTAATACTTTCATTGTGTCAGCCTTTCATAGGATTGAGAAATATAAGCGGATGGAGGACAGACACTGAGCCATGGATAGGCGATCAAAACATGAATAAAAGCATTGCTTTTGAAAGCAGTGAATGAAGGGGAAAGTTGGAGGGGTTCAGGTCTCAAGTTCCAGCGAGTACCTCAAAAGTGATTGAAAGTTCTGCCACCATTAGGGACAGAGGGAAGGATGGAAGAGGCGGAAAGATAACTAATGGATTAGGACTCCAAGTAACTGTGTAAGGAAAAGTCAGCATATTGATTCTGCAATTTTAATGAGACCATAAGTTACATTATGTGAACCACTAAATAGAAAAACCGGTAAATCCTGCAGTAGTAGTAATGGGGTGGAATTATCTGAAAAATTACAGAAATCAGGGCAATCGCTAGGTCTCAGTCCTGCATGAGTCAGGTTTCTCTGGGGAGGTGGCCAGTTGGGTCACTGTCCAGTTACAAACAACAAGCAGGTTCCAAGGGCAAGGGCCTAAAGAGAGCAACTGCAGTAATGGTTGGCTGAAAGCACACTCACACAGAGAAAATGGCACTGCTGAGGCAGAAAGGTAAGCGTTCAAAAATGGAGGCTGATCTAAGAGTTAAAAATTCAGAAGAGGTATATCCATTAGTGATACAGTGTTGAGCGGCAACCCCTTCACAGGAAGGCTGAAGGCCCAAGGTCTGGTCTTTGCATTCATGGGGCTTGAGGCCACCTCTGTGTTCCTGATGATTTGCCATTTGGGGGAGCTCAGTCCTGCTCGTGCTGGCATCTTTGTTCCAATCGGACCCCGGTTTGACTTCACCCTCCGGCGACTGTGTGCAGTTTGCACATTCCCCCCGTGTCTGCAAGGGTTTCCTCCCACAGTCCAGAGATGTGCAGGTTAGGTGGTTTAGCCATGAGAAATGCAGGGCTACAGGGATAGGGTGGGAAGCGTGGGTCTGAGTGGGATGCTGTTCGGAGGGTTGGTGCGGACTGGATAGGCCGAATGGCCTGCTTCCACACTGTCACAATTATATGATTCTAAGTGGGTCCTTAACTGACCCTAATTAATCAGAATGCTGATTGAATCAAGATCACTTGTTCTTAGGAACGCAGCGATGGGAAGATTGCACCCATTGAGTTCTAATCTGATTTCATTCAGAAGTTCATTTAAATGATCCAACAAGGAGGAACCCTAGCCTCAGAGAACATCCAGTCTCCTACATCTGGTTTGGTATGCAAAGTGATACCAACAGCGTGGGTTCATATCCCGCACCGGCTGAAGTTTTCGTGAAGAATTCTCCTTCTCAAACCATTCCTCACCTGACCTTCAGGGTAAACCACCACCAGCCGTCTCTCTCTCTCTGTCTCTCTCTTTCTCTCTCTCTCTAATGATAGGGCAACCCTATGGCCTAGTAAGACTACACCTTTACTTGGGAAGAAATCAAAGATAGTTACAATGAGACAGAGTAACCTCAGTTTTTAATCTTAGTTGAGTATACTCTGATTGTGGTGTTTAAAATAAGGAAGGAATTAGCGTGTAAGGGGTGAATAATGTTTACTTGCTAGAGGAGTAGGAGGACATGATATTAGAATTTCAACTACGCCAGTGAAAAAAAAACATATCCTGAGCAAGAAACTAAATCTTCATACAAGGACTAGAGAATAAATTGGCGAGGCAAGGGGGATGAGAACCAGTGAGCTGCTCTTGCAATCAGGAAGGACAGATATGATGGGTAAAATAGTCTCCTTTAATGCAGTAACCCTGCTGTGATTCTAGCCGAGTGGGAAGGCTGTCGGTGCAAACAACTGAAGTTTGAAATGTGTGAAAGGGATTGAGGGACGTGGAGAAAGGTCAGGGCATTGAGTTTAAAAGAATGAATGGCCTGATAGCCCAACCAGCTTGCTGTTTCTGGCGAGGTATAGTTTTATCAAAAATAAACGAAAGCTTTTCTAATTATTTACGTTAAACCAACAGGTGGAGTTCCCGAAGAAGGAAGAAAAGGAATATACGGGTTGGGTGGTATTTATCTGTGCATTCTTGGTCGTACTGCCCTCTATATTTATTCCACTCACTGCACTTTATCACCTCGTCAGATTTAAACTCAGCAGGCACAAGCAAAGAGCACAGAATCCCTTTGACAACCATGCTTTTCAACTATAAGAGATTCCCGTGTCCGTGGAAACTACGATTTGCATTTATCCACCTTTGTACAATTGAGAAGGTACATTCCAGCTGAGTAATAAACACTATTCAACAGTCTCATGAACCCTTGGTCCTCTTCTGACACGGACGCGATCACATCCTGCCCTTTTGCAGAAACTTTGCTCTGCAGAAACAAAATCCAGAGGTCTTGTTGAGGCCATTCCATCCGGATCACTATTTTCTCGAAGGGTAGGAAGAATGCTTCCACACCTTTATCCTCGAGCCTTGCAGCATCTGTACTACCTTGAACATTTTCTTGGCTCAACATCAAACTTCTGCCAGGATTCTCTACATCTTTGCGGACCATAGCTTCAGGGCAAATCTGTCCCATCTCTGCCAGCTTTACCTTCTCTCTCTTTCTCTGTGGCTTCGGCCTTCAGCTCCATTTTTCTTAGCGCTGTTGTCTTGATTTGATTTGATTTGTTACTGTTACATGGACTGAGATACAGTGAAAAGTATTGTTTTATGTGCTAACAAGACAAATTATACTTTACATAAGTACATCAGGGTAATAGAACAGAATGCAGAATATAGTATTATAGCTACAGAGAAGGTGCAGAGAAAGATCAACTCTAATGTATGAGAGGTCCATTCATAAGTCTGATAACAGCAGGGAAGAAGCTGTTCTTAAACCTGATGGTACGCATTTTTTCAAACTTTTGTATCTTCTGCCGATGGAAGAGGGTGGAAGAGAGAGTATAACTGGGGTAGGAGGGGTCTTTGATTATGTCGGCTGCTTTCCCAATGCAGCAGGATTCAATGGAAGGAAGGCTAGTTTTCATGATGGGCTGGGCTGCGTTCATAACTCTGTAACTTCTTGCCGTCTTGGGTAGAGCACTTGCCATACCATGCTGTGAGCATCCGGACACGATGCTTTCTGAGATGTTCCCTCTTCTCTTTCTTCCCTAAGCTTCCCATTCTATTTTCCTCATTTCCTTATTGTAGCAGCTCAACTCTACCTGTTCCCCAACACTAACAACTCCAGTTCCATTGCTTGCCTCGGACTCACTCTGTCCCTCGAATAGATTTAACCATGATTCTATCTGCTCTACCAACCGTGGCCTTAACTTGTTTTTCTTTCTCAGATCTCACTGCTCAAGCTCTAGCCGTCCACTAAACACACACCAGGCTGTGAAGTTTGTCTCTACAACTGCATACCCCCTTGTTTCTCCCACCATATTATAACTCTTCTTCCCGATTGTTTTTTTCTGTACCTGTTGAGAGGCCGTAGGATTAAACTCCTTCTTAGCTTCGGGTACCTCTGTGACCAATCCCGATGTGTGTGGATTCCTGCTGTCCCCAAGGAAGATTCCCCCGAGGGGTGGGGGGACTAACTGAATCATGAACCTTCTGCAGAATCCCACTTTTTTCTGATAAACTTTAAGAAAATTAATGTCAGTAGCTAGTTATAGAACGAAAAGTTAAAAAGAACAGATTGGGATATAACAATGTGCAGCATTGTCAGGTGACATCGAGCAGCCAATGTAACGATGGCAGTCTCTCACCTCACAGATTAGGTTAGAGTTACCCTTGATGCCTCTTCACTTTGTACAGTCATCAGTTGGATTTTATTCATTTTTGTTCACCTTGGCTTAAACACTATCTTTCCAAGCCACACAAAGCAAGGCAAATAGACCATTCAAGCTTATTCTTCCATCCAGTAAGTCAATAGTGGATCTGTGACCTATTTCCATATCTCTTAATACATTTGCTTAACAAAAGTCAAATAATCTTAAGGTTAAATCCAATAATTGATTTAACAACAATCTCCATTTGTAGGAGAGTTCATATAAATTTCTTGATTTCACACTTCAAAGGCCTGGTTCTGATTTCTTAGACTAACCCCACTCCTGCTAATAAATTTGTGTCACCTCATCTCATTATTAAACCCTTGATTTTTAGCTCAATGTATGCCAGTGTGCATTTTTAAGAAATCTTCCAGTAATTTAGTTTTAGTAAAAGTGCTTTGTAATGTGGATATGGATAGATTCATACATCTCATTGCCTGATGCACCTAAAATCAATCATAATTAAATAATGTTCATTTCAAGTTAACATTTATTCCTCTGCTTTAATGTATATTTTTAACAAGAGTCTGCTGGCTAATGTGTCCATGATGAATTATGATTAAAGAGTTTTCAATTTGTGTTAAAATTACTTTCATTGCTTTAGTTTTGTTTTTGAAAGTGCTCCTTTTTTTTTAAGAAGGATATGTTGGTCCTGCTCTTTTCAAATTTAAAGAGTAAACTGCCCTCTTTGTAAAGTGGTGCCTGGAGTGTGAAGTATTTCAGGATTATTCAGAATGCAAATGGTAACTCTGAAATTTACACTAATGAAAATGCTGAAGAAATCCACTACTGCTGGCTTCATAGTAATTACTAAATGTATGGAAAGAAAAAAAGCTGTCCTTTTGCTGTTAGTCAATGTACGAACAGTAAAATATAAAGTACAGGCTATAATTATACTGGCTGCTATTCTTGTTCCATTTGCCAGGGTACCCTCACTCAGGAGCACCCATTAACTTATTTTTAATAAACGAGGTGAAAAGTTGAAGACACCCACCAGAGGAGAGAAGCTGCAAAATGCCATCAAACCAAAGGATTCCAATGGCATTTTCCTGGAAGATCACACACGTGTGTGCCTGTTCTTATATTGGCCCAGAGATATTTCATTTTTCTTTTAAATTTTGTCCCAATCATGATCCAGGCATGATTTTTTTTTTAATTTCAAAAATATACTTTATTCATAGATTATAAATAAATACAAGTACAAAACAAACCCGTGCAGACTTTGCAGAAAATGCATTTGAATTTTGACATTCCTCATTGGAGCTTCAATCTGGTTGCAACAATAAGAGGCAATTTCAAAACGTGAAAGGAAACTGTTTATATTCCCATTAAGGCTATGAGGGGATCTCGAAATGTAACAGATCCTCATTACATTTTGGCAGAAAGACCTTAGACAATGGTCTTTCCCCACTGGGCTTTGGCAGCTTTAGTGCGCTCCTCAGCACATAGTCCCAGATCGTTTCCTGTTTCAAGGCGTTATTCCTCGGTTTCTCCTCCAGGCGAAGAAGAGGGAAGCTCTATCCTCTGGCCATACTCTCTCTGATGAGGGTAACAATTGCCCTGCCCCTCCTAGCGCCATCTACAAATGACTGAGGTGGGTCCAAAACTGAGGAATGTTTATGAAAGAATTCTGAGGCATGAGCCGTTAACATTTGTTTAAATTGTATTCATCTGCACATAGTGAGCACAACATTACTACTACTGTTTGTAAGACCATAAGATATAGGAGCAGAAATTAGGCCATTCAGCCCATTGAGATGACTAGACACAATTTGTAGTTCCAGTGATCCCCAGTATCATATGTGCCTGTCTTCAGCCAATTTGATTCACTCCACATTATATCAATAAATAGTTGGAGACACTGGATACTGCAAAGGCTACGGGCCCTGACAACATTCCAGTAATAGTACTGAAGACTTGTGCTCCAGAACTTGCTGCTGTCCTGGTTGAGAACACAGTTACAGCAGTGGCATCTACTCAACAATGTGGAAAACTGCCCAGGTATATTCTGTACACAAAAAGCAGGACAAATCCAACCCAGCCCCATCAGTCTACTCTCGATCATCAGTAAAGTGATGGAATGTGTCATCAACAGTGCTATCAAGCAGTACCTGCTCAGCAATAACCTGCTCAGTGATGCCCAGTTTGGGTTCTGCTAGTTTCACCTCATTGCCACCTTGGTTCAAACATGGACAAAAATGCTGAATTCCCCAGAGGAGAGGTGAGAGTGTTGGCCCTTGACAACAAGGCTGCATTTGATCTGTTGTGACATTAAGGAGCCCTAGCAAACTAGAATCAATGGGTAAGGGGTGGGGGGGGGGGTCTGGGGGCGCGGGGTGTGTGTGTGGGGGGGGGGTGAGATGGCGGTGTTGGGGGGGAGTCAGGAGCTCTCTGTTAGTTGAAGTCAAACTTGACACCTTAAGATGATGGTCATGGTTGTTGGGGGTCAGTCATCTCAGTTCCAGGAGTTCCTCAGCATAGTGACCTAGAGGCAACCATCTTCAGTTGCTTCATCAATGACCTTCCTCTCCATCTTAAGGTTAGAGTGGGGATGGTCACCGATGATTGCACTATGTACAGCACCTTTTGCGACTCCTCAGATACTGAAGCAGTCCATGTTCAAATTCAGGAAGACCTGGACATTATCCAGGTTTGGAGTGAAAAGTGGTAAGTAATATTTTTGCCACACAAATACCAGACAATGATCATTTCCAATGATTAACAGTCTAACCACCAGCCCATGGTATTCAATGGTATAACCATCACTGACTCCCCAGTTATCAACATCCTGGGGAATACCACTGACCAGAAACTGAACTGGACTAGCCATATCATTCAGTGACTACAACAGCAGGTTAGAGACTAGGCATCCAGTCACCTCCTGACTGCCCAAAACCTGCCCACTACCTACAAGGCACAAGTCAGGAATGTGATGGAATACTCCCCACTTGCCTGGATGAGTGCAGCTCCCGTAACATTCAAGAAGCTTGACACCATCCAGGACAAAGCAGCCCATTTATTGGCACTGCATCCACAAACATCCACTCCGTCCACCTCCAAAGCTCGGTAGCAGCAGTGTGTACTATCTACGAGATGCACTGCAGAAATTCACCAAAGATCCTCAGACAGCACCTTCCAAACCCACGACCACTTTCATCTAGAAGGACAAGGGCAGCAGATACATGGGAACACCATCGCTTGCAAATTCCCCTCCAAGCCACTCACCATCCTGGCTCGGAAATATGTCGCTGTTCCTTCACTGTTGCTGGGTCAAAATCCTGGAATTCCGTCCCTGATGGCATTGTGGGTCAACCCACAGCATGTGTTGCAGCGGTTCAGGAAGGCAGCTCACCACCACCTTCTCAAGGACAACAAGGGATGGGTAATAAATGCTGGGCCCAGCCAGTGACACCCATATTCCCCACAAGTGAATAAAAAAAGACAATTGCTTGTTAGGCAAACTGACAACTTCAAAATGCAGGTGGTCCCAAAGAATCAAATGAAGTGATAAATGTTGCGCAAAATCTTTCGTCCATGATATAACATCCAATTCAATACTTCAATTTGTTTTTCCTTTCCTCCCTTCCTAGACACTTCTCTCATTCTTGCCAATAGCTCCTACTCCATTAAGGCATTCATTTTTGGCCAATTCCCGCCTGTGGGAACGATGGGACATTTTTCTACATTACAGGTGATACTTATCAATATGGAATAAAAGCCAAAAGAACTGTGGAAACATTAACTCTGATTTGTCCCCACAGATGCTGCCAGACCTGCTGAACTTGTCCAGCAATTCCTATTTTTGCATATTAATATGGGAGTTGTTGATTTAAAATAAGAATAGCAATGGCCACAATCCCATTTCATTTCTGGTTTAGTGAGAAGACAATACATCAAATTTATCAAGTCCCATAAAGTCTATTTCATTGGAAAGAGACTGTGAAGACAACCTGACTGTGGGAACTAATTAAATCTCCAGCAATGACAACTGATTCACCACAGTCAAAGATGATAAAGAATTCTGGATTAACGTGTTGTGGAAAAGTTTCAAAAATGCAGCGCTCATTCGCTAAACATCTGATACAGAGCTGTGTGACCTTTTATGACTGCCAATTACCATTAGAAGGTCACACATTTCTGTCGGTGTTTGAGGACAGTAATCATGACATTTTCACCCACAAAGTGCACAGTCCAAAGGTACCAGAATTTCCAGTCCCCACACTCTGCAGCTGAAACCCAGAAGCACCACACTTTCTCTCATACATGCAATGTTATCAATTCTTCAACTTTATCTTCAAAACTGATCAACAACCAATTGCAGTTCATGCATACGGCCGTTTTGCTCTTAACCTTTCTCACTGGTAGCTGTTATCGCTGTTGAGCAATAAATGTCAATATCTCAGTGGATGACTTTAAAGACTGTGACACAATTGAAAAGGTTAATCAAATCATTAACTGGGAATACATGCATCAATCAAGAACAGTGATTATTCCCAAAAACAACTCATCCGTATTCCAAAAAAGAAAGAAAACGGTGTTGAATTTACCTAAAAGTTCTCTCGCATCTCTGCTGGACTCTGGGGGAAGATAACTATTTTACTGGTCACGCCCCTGTACCTCATCTATATTATAGGTGGCCAAAGATAAACTGAAGTGCGATTGGTTAAGGCCTTGTATAAGAGAGACTAGTTCAGGTTGTATCTGTACTTGCTATCAGCTAACCAGACATTCACTGGCACTCTGCCAAGCTTCAATAAGGAAGGCCATGGAAGATCCATCAGCAATGCTTTTACGAACTGCTGACATGTATTCCAAAGGGCACTGCCCAAGGGTCGGGGTAATTATGCCTCCTCTGTAATACCATCAGATGTGCTTTTTATCCAATGCCAATTTATTGAAATCCAGCCATTTGGCGCACTCAACCTTAGCTGACTAAATGGAAGCCAACTCTTAATGATTGTGAGCAAACTAAGCCAGGGAAGGGGAGGCAGTGGCCTAGTGGTATTATTGCAGAACTGTTAATCCTGAGACACTGGGAATGTTCTGGGGACCTGAGTTCAAATCCTGCCATGGAAGATGGTGGAATTTGAATTCAATAAAAGTCTGGAATTAGGAGTTTAATGATTGTTGATTGTCAGGAAAAACCCATCTGGTTTACTAATGTCCTTTAGGGAAGGAAACTGCCATCCTTAATTTGTGTGGTCTATAAATGACCCTAGACCCAGAGTAATATGGTTGACACTTAACTGCCCTCTGGGCAATTAGGGATGTGCAATAAATGCTGGCCTGGCCAGTGATGCCCACATCCCATGAATGAATAAAAAAGAAAATACATTGTAAGTTTTCTTTACTGATAAGCTTGTATTATTGCTATTTTTCTGCAAATGTCACCACTTACCAATGATATGAAGGAAAACAAAAGTCAATGAGCACAATACAAATTTTAAGATCCAGCAGATGACAGGAGAGCATCATCTGGTGATCTCAGGATTTTGATAACAGGGTATAAACTGTGAAATGTACTGTCAAGATATTAGCACTATCAGTTCAATTTCTTGGTTGATTTCTTCCAATATTTCCCATTCCAGCATTTCCATATGCCAGTATTTCCTAGTAACAGGAATGAGATAAAGGGGTGTGAATTATTGGAATAATAAGTGTGCATTTAATGAACCAACACTTCAGCAAATTGTCAGTCAAGCAATTTTTTGTTGCTTTCTAATACAATGCATATTGGAGAGGAGTATCAGATGCACAGAGGACTGGGATCCAAAGGGAAGAAACAGTGGATCAGGCGTTGGAGGGGGAATCACTAGATGGAGCAGGATGAGTTAAAAGTGCATGGGTGTTTAAAAAGGCGGAGGTATGAATCGCCACACAGGATTACCATACAGCGACAACAGTAGGGACCTGGCTCAAACAAGGGGAGGATTAGAAATGTAATATTTGTGGTTACAAAGTATTGGGGAAAGATAGGGAAGCAAAAAAGGAATATAAAATCAGTATCTGTGTTTGCGACCGTGACATTACCACTGATGGTTATTAAACCCCATCTGGTTCACTAATGCTGTTTAGGGAAGGAAATCTGCCATCTTCTCTTGGTCTGGCCTACACGTGACTCCACAGCCACAGCAAAATGTGGTTGATTCTTAACCCCCCTCTGAAGTGACCGAACAAGCAACTCCATTCAAGAGCAATTAGAGATGGGCAAAATATGCTGCCCTTGCCAGGAGACTGCTATATCACATGGAAAGTAACAACACTTTTAAAACAAAATATGGGATTCTTGACTTTATGAACAGAAGTACTGAGGTCAAAAGCAGGGACGTTATAAAATAACTTTTCAAAAATTTGGTGTCAGCTGCGTCCAATTCTGGGCACCACATTTTCAGAAAAATGTCAAGATTTTGGGAGGGGGGTTGCTGGGGGGCATGGAGGAGATGGTAACATATTTGTTTCAGGAATGCAGCACTTCAGTGCAATGACGGGACTACAGGAAGCTGGTCTTGCTCTTTCTCAAGCAGAGAAAGATGAGATTTTAATAGAAGTGTTTAAAACCATGAAAGGTTATTATAGAGTAAATTATAATCCATTATTTCCAGTGGTGGAATCATTTACTAGAGAACACAGACTTTATTCAATTTGTTAATGGACTAGAGGTATGATGAGGTAAATCATATTTAAGTAATGAGATATGCAGTTCTATAATGGCCCTGGGAAACACTCGATGTCAATGTTTCAGAGAGAAATTGGATAAACACTCAAAGGAGGCAAGTGAGAGCTATGAGAGCTGGACAAGGGATTGTAGCTAATTGAATAACTTTGGCCAAGAACCAACACAAGCATAGTGGACCAAATAGCTAGCTGCTGTATTGTATCATTTTACAACTCAGCTTGTAGACAAATGCACATTCTGATGCTGTTTACCGGTTTCACTTTAATCCATGATGGCAGCAAAATCTTGATGAAGCGCTGATTGGGTTATAGACTGCAGCAGCTGGACTGTGTCAGGAGGTAGAATTTGCTGCAACTCGGCCCTACCTTAAAATGAAAACAAGACATTTAAAATATGTTTCTGTCCCAGCCCCCACCGAAACGCATCACTTTGCAATTCCTTTTACTAAACTGCATCTGCCACATGTCTGCCCATTTCACCTTAGCCTGGAGCGTAATACTAATCTCCTCATGGCTCACTCTCCTTCCAAGCTTTATGCCATCTGCCAGTTCTTACACTGTCCTTCTACATTCGGTCTCAGTCATTGAGGTGGAACAAGAACTGCAATGATCTGAGTACTGACCTCTGAGGAATGCCCATGTGCACCTTTTTCTGTTTTGCATCACTCCCTTAACTTCAGATCAATGCTGTCACTGTTCCTTTCCTTCTACTGGTTTCAACTTCACTGGCATTCCTGATGTGGAACTACACCAAACCCGCCCACATCATCCTCATTAAGCCTCTCTCTTGCTTTGTCAAAAATCTCAACCAACTTGGTTAAATATCATTCTCCTTTAACAAATCCATGCTGGTGTTCTTTAAATTAATCAACACTCATTCACATAGCTCTTAATTTTGTCCTGAATTGCAGCTTCGCTAAGCTTCCCCACCACTGACATTAAACTAAGTGACCTCTAGGAACTGGACTGATCCTTAAAATTTTTCCTGAACAAGGATGTAGCAATTCTCTAGACTGCTGGCACTTACCCCAAATATATCTCCACACCGTCAACCCTTACCTCCTTTGGCAGCTATACTGGTCTCAATGGGATATAACCCAGACTTTCTACAACGTCTACTTTATCAATTTTTAGCCTATCCAGTACCTCAATAACTCTCTTTGATAACATCCATTTCCCTGGACGCAAAGTCCTCATTTAGTACTTTGGTCGCACCCTCTGCTTGCAGGTCTGTAATTGGCTCCACCCTACCTCTTACTACTCTTTTAATGTTTGTATACCTTGAGAAAAATATTTTGATTCCCTTTTCAGGTGGGGGGGTAGGGTCAGTGTAGCTCAGTTAGCAGGACAATTGGTTCCCAATACAGGGTGACACCAATTGTATGGGTTCATTTCCCACTAAGGTCACAGTGAAGGATTCACCCTCTCAATCTCTGCCTTCACCTGAGACACAGTGACCATCAGGTTAAACCACCATCAGTTGTCTCTTTCTAATGAGAGAGCAGCCCTACAGTCTGGTGAGACTATAGTGACTTTACCTTTATTCACATACAACTGTTCTTCTGGTCAAGCTAACATGCAAACTGAGAAAAAAAAATCCAGAACATAAACAGAAGCTGCTGGAAAAGCTCAGCAGGCCTGGCAGCATCTGTGAAGAAAAAAGTCAGAGTTAACGTTTTGGGTCTGGT